TTTTTCACCTGACCCCGTACTGGTATAAATCTAACGAGATTTGTAATTTCTTAGCACTTGAGAATGAACCATATAGGTTCGAAATGTTGTACAATTTAATAAGTGTAATACATTCTACAGTTATTCACTCTTTTTCTTGACCTTGAAAACGAACATGAATTTTGGTGACCTCTTCCAGCTGAACCCTGATGCAAGAGCACTAGTAGGAGGGATAGAAACCCTAAACCAGAAAAGAGTTAATACGGAATATGCTCTCATATTCAATGAGACATGTGTGTGTGTGTGTATATATAATAGAAAGAATTAGACCAATGATTCTAGCAAGACTCTTCGATATACTTCTGATGTTGAAATTCACTTGGCAAGGAGCCTGACAAATTGACTCTTGAAAGTTAATTTATATGTTCTGAGAGAGTCTTGTTGTGTGGTCCTTGTCGGCGACATTATTATTTAAGGGAAGGTGAACTACCCTGATGCCTCCCCCGCCCGCCCCTGTCTCTCTCTCTCTCTCTCTCTCTCTCTCTCTCTCTCTCTCTCTCTCTCTCTCTCTCTCTCTCTCTCTCTCTCTCTCTCTCTTTCTCTCCACCTGTCTCCTTCAACATCATCTTTCTCCCATTCTCCCCCACTATTACCTCTCCCCCTTCTCTCATCTGCCCCTCTCCACCTTCCCTCTTTTCCTCACCCACTTCTCTCCTTCCCTCTTCCTCCTCCCTCCTCCTCTTTCTCAACCCCTCTCTCAGAAATGTAATACTGAATTCACGTTCATTGTTGAGCTAGGAAATCTATCGACTCGACTAACAATCTCTTTCATCGATTTCTTAAGGGGGGGGGGGGAGTCGCTTGGGCCCGACCGTCTCTTGATAAGGCCAATTCTTCCCCGACCAGCCTATGACATTCCCATACTCCAGACCACTCACCTTGAAACGTTGGGTGTGTTTTATACCCGTGTAACCGCGGGCAATAACGGACATAACAATAATGAAAAGGGTGTTAGGAGCAGCAACTACTCCTGCGGTGTCAGTGGTAACCTGTACTACAAAGAACGTCGCTTTTCGCTCGTATGCGTTACATGCGGCCAAAAATTGTCGTATTAGAAAAATGGAAGCGGCTGGCGAAAGTGTCGTACTGTCCCGTTTTCTGTTGTGGGTCCTCTGGTAGGTTAGGAGAGGCCACTTTAAACTGACCGTTTTCTTGACACTGGGGAACCTTAGGAGGACGGACTGGTCAGGGGCAAATGATAAGATATTATATGAATGCTCTTTATTTCCTTCACTGAGGCCATAGGTCAGCACAACTGCACCAGAGGTGCTACACCTAGCCATGTATTCACCTAGGTGTGCTTGCGGGGGTTGAGCTCTGCTCTTTCGGCCCGCCTCTCAACTGTTTCTATTACTATTTCCCTCCCCCTCACTCCCCACACACAAACCCCAGGAAGCAGCCCGTGACAGTTGACTAACTCCCAGGTACCTATTTATTGCTAGGTAACATGGGCATAGGGTGAAAGAAACTCTGCCCATCGTTTCTCGCCGGCGCCCGGGATCGAACCCCAGACCACAGGATTACGTGTCCAGCATGCTGTCCGCTCAGCCGGCCGGCTCCCTGTGTATCAGAGAGAATGTACACTCCCTGTGATTTGTGTCAGAGAGAATGTCTATGTGTCAGGATTGGAGACCAGATGCTTAAAAATAACGTCGCTTTTGTCCGTTTACCCGTATGGCCGAAAGTGGACGTAATTTGAAAATGAACAAAAAATGAAAATAAATTTGGGATTTTTTTTTCAACAACAGTAAGTTAAGGGTCCTCTGGTAGGTTAGCTGGGCAGGAAATTCTCATAAAGTTTCAAATTTGTATGAGAAATGTTAATCGAAAGTTTCCTCTTCTAACCTTTCTGAGTAGGCCGGACGACTCAAACAAAAAGCGGGACAGTACGCCACTTTTGTGAGTCGATTTCATTTAAAATTATATCCATTTTTGGCCATAGCGCGCATATCAGCGAAAAGCGATGTTATTTTTAAGAGGACGGGTTGGATATCTTGAGGATATCTTGAGATGATTTCGGGGCTTTAGTGTCCCCGCGGCCAAGTCCTCGACCAGGCCTTCACCCCCAGGAAGCAGCCCGTGGTAGCTGACTAACTCCCAGGTACCCATTTACTGCTAGGTAACAGGGGGATGATGACCGAGTTATTGACCAAACACCACTTGATAGTGATCCACGACGGACCGAAACGTCGCATCTTCGTCTTCTGTTGTGTACTTTGGTCCAGTCCAGTTTGGTTCAGTCCACTATGGTCCAGTTTGACTTCAATTGTTTCAGGAGGATTTTGGCTGAAGACTAAGTGTCATTTGACAGCTTTGGTCAAGTTACCAGTTATTGCAAGCACTCTTGTTGACAGTCAGAGGGGGGGACAAGCCAAGCCCAGTCACCACACACAGTTACCTGTCATTTCCGTTCACTTTAACCGTCACTGCTTTTGTCGCCAGTAATTACAAACAGCCAGTTATAAAAGTGGATTTTTTTTTAATCTGGCGAATTTTATTAAGTCCTTAATCCGTTTTCTGTTGGTATAATTGCTTGAGCCTCACCTACATAACACATTGCATATATGCTTTTAATTTGCCAGCTCCTGCCATCTGGCGGGAACAGTTGCTGCCGAACACTGTAGAATATATCACGTGAGCTGTGTTAAATGTTATTTATTTATTTATTTATTTATTTATTTATTTATTTATTTATATACAAGAAGGTACATTGGGTTTTTGAGAATACATAGCATGACATTTACAATCTTGTAAAGCCACTAGTACGCGCAGCGTTTCGGGCAGGTCCTTAATCTAACTGATAATTTTAAGTAGGTAAATTCTAGCAGAATTAATAAAATGATAACGGATACATTGCACGAAAAAGAATGAGATGAGAGAGAGATTAGTAGGTATATTAAAGCACATTGGTATATTATGTATCACGTGAAGTGTGTTAAATGTATCATGTTTTATATTGGAGGCATAAACAACTATGAAATAACTGAACTACCCAGGAACAAAACACAAAATTGTTAGAAAGTGAACTATCAATCGCTTCATATATGTTGAAGTGGAATGATACACGTGTCTCAAACATGAACGGTCCTTTATACAACAATGTAAATCCTTTACATACATTTATTTGTTCATATAAATCCTTTAATAATCTGTGTTATTTTATTCCAAGATGCAGATCAATAACTTTTTGCAATCAGCGAATCAAGCAATTTCCCCACGATAGACGTTAGGCTAATTGGCCGACAGTTGCATGCAAGTGATCTATTCCCTTTAAGACTGGCATAAACATTTGCAACTCCTGTTTGTTGACATCAGGGGGATCTATACATTTATTTATTTATTTATATACAAGAAGGCACATTGGGATTGTGAGGATACATAGCATAGTAATTACATTCTTGTAAAGCCACTAGTACGCGCTGCGTTTCGGGCAGAAAACATCAAAATACAATACACTATTCGAGAGGAAATGAGTGATGTAACTCCTATCACTAGGCTCCCATTATTGGAATTCAACGCAGGCGATGAGACACAATAACGTGGCTGAAGTATGTTGACCAGACCACAATTCCGTAGAATTGGAGTTCAATTCTATTCATTTAGAATGTTTGGCATAGTTGTGAATGCCACTGTGACATAGCAGCCTATCCTCCTGGTTAGACGGGAGGATAGGTTGCTATGTCAGCCTATACTGGAGGATTTAAATATGAAACTAAAAAAAACAAACTTAAATATTCCTAGGTTTAGTATAACACACATATGTACTATATTAGGCCTTAGATAACGTGTATTAGGCCTAGGAAGGTTTGGTTAGATTAGTTTAGTTTGTCTTTGTAACCTAAGTAGAAAATCGTTTTCCGGCTTGTACAAATTCAATAGTACCGATGTCGACTTTCTAATTGCATAGTACATCAGTACATGTACTAAGGTCCTCATCCTTCATATAAGTACTATCAAAACAGAAGGATGGGCTGCTATATTTTAAACTTTCCCTTACTAGCTTTACTAGAGTGTTACTTGCTTAGCTAAATGAACTGTGGGGCTTAGGGGTTCAATTCCTGAACCCATTATGTGCCTCTGTAACCCTTCCCCCCCCCCCTCCCCACAGCCCATGGAATGGGTATAGGGTGCACAATAAATTACTAAACTGCAAAATGAATGACTCGTTTTCGTTTTCATGTGCACTATCATTATTTAAAAAAACTGATTTGTTAGCGCCTACCGGAAGGAGATTTTTTTTTAAATCTGTGTCCCATTCCTGAGATAACCTTTTTCTATTATTTACAGCCACGCCACTATCCAGTAACTTTAAAATCGTATTTTACATTGATCCAACAACTTCTGGCTTCAACCTCGGCAAAATATCGTCCCTATCTCCCAAGAGACACACAATGGGCTTGATCACACTCTTCTTGACGCTATCTTGAGATGATTTCGGGGCTTAGTGTCCCCGCGGCCCGGTCCTCGACCAGGCCTCCACCCCCCAGGAAGCAGTCCGTAGAAGCTGGTAAATTCCCAGGTACCTATTTACTGCTAGGTAACAGAGGCATCAGGGTGAAAGAAACATTTTTGCCCATTTGTCTCCGCCTCCACCGGGGATCGAACCCGGAGCCTCAGGACTACGAATCCGAAGCGCTGTCCACCCAGCTGTCAGGCGCCTGAAAATATACTATTAATTCTAGCTAAAATATCTCTATGTTGTTTATGATTCGCTACTCGGTACAAATAGTTCCAAGTAGCACGGGCTATGGTGAGCCCGTAGGAATATCTCTAGTCCTTTCCGCCTTAAGTTGTGGCTCGCGTATCCATAGTGTGACTGGCAGACACAACAAATATGGCCCCTTTGGATGAATTTAGTGTGGATGACAACTACATAATGTTTACCTCGGGAGAGGTGAGAACACTTTATGATCTACTGGTTTAGAAGGACCACCACCTCCTAATGGGTTATAGGTGCTTACCTGCCGCTGGTGATGATGAGTCTAGGTGATGATGAGTCTAGGTGATGATGAGTCCAGGTGACGAGGCGCCCAGGTGACGAGGCTCCCAGACGACGAGGCTCCCAGGTGAAGAGGCTCCCAGGTGACGAAGTTCCCAGGTGACAAGGCTCCCAGGTGGCAAGGCTCCCAGGTGGCAAGGTTCCTAGGTGACGAGGCTCCCAGGTGGCAAGGCTCCCAGGTGACGAGGATCACAGGTAACGATGAGCAAAAGTAATAAGGCGCTCAGGTGAAACCAAATGAATCCAGCTGAAGTCAGCCAAGCAGAAGATAATTCAGATGACGCTGAATGAGGCTAGCTGAATCCAGGTGCACTTGGGTGGTCTTGAACCTAGATGACCAGAAATGAATCCAGGTGGTATACGTGAACCCAAATGAGTATGTTTCAGTCAAGGTGATTATATTAATGCGGTTGAGTATACCTTGGATGGTGGGGTGAGGTTCTAGATGTACCGAGAGGGCAAGCACTAAGCTATCTTCCTATGATCAGTGTTCCGTGATGCTGTCTTTTATTCTTGCTTTACACACTTAAAAGTCGTCATATTTTTTTCCACGTTTCATTCGACACTCGTCTCAGTTTCCCTATCAGGAGCGAGCTGTATGTACTCCGTCCATGGCTGCCCTTACCACCATACACATACCACGACGCTGTAAGCCAGGCCAAACTTCACACACATAAACACAATTTACGAATACAAATAAATACACGGTGCTTGGAGCGAGTTAACTTCAAGTTAACTTAAGCCTAGAGTCCACAATGTCCCGAAGTACGCATGGCTTAGCTCCTCCTCTCAGAGATTACCTTAACCTGCTTTCTTCTTTCACTCAAGACTGTGGTCCAGACCCACGGAGCTCTAATAATAGTCTTTCGTGGAAAGTACGATTAACTGGGACAATAATAATACCGTATAAAAGTATTATTTGCGTTACATAATACGAATCATGTTTTTTAAGCAAGAAATGATTTTGTGACCAATGCAGATTTGAAGATTGTATTAAAAAAAATACCTGATTCCAGCATAACGGAACTTTAAGTGATTTTTCAATTCTGTTTGAGTCTCTGAGACTCACAAATACAGGTTGATAGTCTATGTTGTTGATTTAGGGGTTGTTATTTAGGTTGTTGACTATGTTGATAGTCTATGAGGCTGTGTCTGTAATTCTGTGAATCTTAGTGTGTGGAATGTAGTATTTCAGCCACTTAAATGTGTGAGGTCGCTATTCTCAGTAAGTAAATCTGCGTGTCTTCCCTCATATGTCCTCTTTCTGAACCATATTGCGCAACAAAACGTTTGAAAAAATTAAATGTAAACAACTTTAATCCACAGAAGCAAAATGTCTTTTCTTGAATCCGGTGAAGGATTTATGGGGCGAAGCCTGAATTATCAACCTTTCCAAGAGCCACAATACCTTATGTGTTGACCCTCAGACTTAATCTTACGTCGTGTAAATAAGAGAAAGGCTGTTTATGCATTAACAAAAACAAATTATATTTCATGCAAATAATTCATATCGGCAGCTTACATTGTCTGTGTAACAACAATTGCTTTCAACAAACAAAGCCTAGTTAGTTTGGATTCGGTATAGTTTGTTGTCGTTTGACTTCCATCTTAAAAAAAAAATTGTCATTGAGGAAACTTAACTCACACTGATTTCCCCCCTTATCGTTATACATCAGACGAATGAATCGTTCATTCATTTCCACTCAAAAACATTTTCTTTCGAAGAAACAATTAGGCTTCTCGGGAGGAACTGCCTCCCACGGGCATCGCTCTTGTGTCATATCAAAATAATTTACAATTTTAATTCTGTGCAGCAAAAAAAAAAAAAAAAAAAATTTCAAGTTGCAACAAAAATGTTCTTGTGCGTAATGAAAACTAAGTTTTTTTTAAAACGTTTCAAAGTTTTTTTTACAGCGTTTCAACATATATTTTCAAACTTTCAACTAATTAGGAATAATACAAATTTTCACGTATGTAGAGAAAAGACACTTTAAACCTGAAATTTTTGTTCTATGTAGCGACGACGCTAACTATGTAATTAGCAGCAAAACAAACTTGTAAACACGCACGATGGTGGGAGAGTGCAGACACGAGGACACCCGCCCTCACCGGCCGCCCAACACCCACTGCAGCCCACCACACACTGCTCCTAGCGCACACAATCACCCATCACACACTGCCGCCCAGCGCATACTGCCGCCCAGCGCATACTGCCGCCCAGCGCATACTGCCGCCCAGCGCATACTACAACCCAGCGAATACTGCCGCCCAGCGCATACTGCCGCCCTGCGCATACTGCCGCCCAGCGCACCCTACCGCCCAGCGCACACTGCCACCCAGCGCACGCTGCCGCCCAGCGCACAATGCGGCCCAGCACACACTGTCGCTAAGCCACGCACTACGACTCAACACACACACTGCCGCCCAGTACACACTGCGGCCCAGCGCACACTGCGGCCCAGCGCACACTGCCGCCCAGCGCACACTGCCGTCCAGCGCACCCTGCCGCCCAGCGCACACTGCCACCCATCACACACTACACACTACCATCTAACCGGTCTCAGGTTAGGTCTCAGTAGTGTGTGTGTACTGGGCGTTAGGGATTTCGTTGCCGAAGTGAGACTTGCCAATTAACAGTATTTAATAGTATATGTGATTCTCTGCACTTCATTCTGGCTCGTGTCGGGGGCAAGAAACATCTTTTTATCAGATCTGTTCTTGTGATCGTTCTTTCCTTAGTTCCTCACTCGGTCTCTTGTCACTAGATGGCGTTGTTCGGCCGGTACAGACACTCCAGTTCCCGTGATTCGTGAAGACTTGTTTGCCACGATTTCACTGCTGGTTGCATCTTTTCGCAGTTCAGTGCCTGAATTTACGGAATGATCGATTTCTTCCACGACGGAAGTGGGGCATCGCATCGTTGCTGGGATTGCGTTCAAGAAATGCTTTCTACGTAATTTTGCCTTCACTGGCGGCTTCCACAACCTCTCGTCTCGAAGTGGTAGGGTTATAAGGTATGTAGATGGGGACGTCTTATCACGCCTGTTAATTACTGCTCGAAGGCAGGTTCGGTGAACGGTCTAGTTTTAGTACATAAGGGGTTTTTGGCCAAACTTTTTTGTCTGTAGACTAGGTTGTGATGTCTACCATATCTATTTCCGAACCGGTTTCTACTCTATGACGTCTATGTAGGACGTCAAGGGACGTCTTCCTTCGACGTCCCAGGGTTTGTTCGTCCTTATTGAGCACTCAGTGTCACCGTCGCCTCTCCTGCAAGGCTCAGAGAGTTGTTACTCTCCAGTGTGTGACTTTTGTTGACTATTTTGCTGCCATCTGTCTGGTTTCTCGACGTTATAATAATTAATTATAATAATAATTCATTGTGTCTGGGGACAGGCAGCCAGTGTATTCATACACGTTAGGCCTATATTGAGGTCGACCCCCTTGGTCGAATTACTGACCGCGCCATTGATGCAACCCACAACAAGCTGACTTGCTCCTGAGTACCTACTCACTGCTAGGTTAACACTTGCATTAGGTGATAGGAGATGCACCCAACCATTTCTGTTCCGCCCGGGATTCGAACCCGGAATTCTCGATTGTGAATCAAACTATTATGTATTAACGATAAGACCTACCATTAATGTATGACGACTTACTGTAAATATGTAGCTCTTGTAATAGCACTTTCTCTGTAACTAGCTGACATTGTAACTATAAGGTGTGAAGGATTGAAGAAATTGTTTATGTAATAATCTAAGATGAGGTCTGATAAAGACCTTTTGTGCCCTCTGTAATGCTTTTGCGCTACCGCTCACAGGATGAGTATGGGGTGCACAATAAACTAGCCGCCTCCGGCGACAACAATCAACAATGAGTCGAGAACGCACTCGACTGCACTACCGGGACCCGCAAGTCCCGGTAGTACAGGTGTATGTGTGAAGGGGTCTTGGTAACTCAAAGATGACGTTTTTTCCTGTGTTGGAGAGCAACTTTTTGGCGCGTTCTGGATTTTGTTAATTGCTTTTGACTGTTGTCGCCACTGTTTTGTTCGGGCTTTATATTTTCGAACGTTATTCGGCCGCGGCCATTTCACTCTCCTGATGGAGGTGCCTTGATTTTGGGCAAATCTTTCTTGGTGGGTCCTGGCCGAATTTGGCTCCATTTTGGCCTTGCGATGTAGTATTTAGATTATTGGGGCTTCCTTCTGTCCTTCATGGATCACTCCTGTTTGGGAGCAGTCGTCTTGTCCCCGTGGCTCAGGCTTGGAGTCATGCCCTCTCGTTTGTTTTGGTCGGATGATGGTTCACGGCGTTGGGTCGTCACAGGTACATTTGTATAGCTTTTGTCCTGAGGTTTGGTCCTTGAGTCTTGGGGATCCTTATTCTTCAGGTTACCTTCTACACAGTTCCAACGTCTCTTCCTCCACGCCCGCGGAAGATTGAGATTTTGTCGAAGCCCTGATCGGTTTCGGCTCCGCCCTTTATCCTTGAGTGTCAGCATTCTCGTTGAATCACTGCGAGGAATTCTGTATGCTGAGGCGGCGGGTCTGGATTGGAGGATAGTTTACGGAATGTTTTTCTTCTGTCCTGTAATCCGGCATTTCTTTTCGCTGGGTAGTAGTTCAGTTCTCAACGGTTAGGTGTTTCCGGGAGAGGGTTTCTGTGTGATCAGTGCTTGGCTGGGGCTGTTTTTGTGCTGAAATTCAGTTGCTGAGTCCTCACGATTCTACTTTCCAGATTTTCTGCTGGACCGCTTGATGGGTTTGGTTGGCTTTGGGTTGCGACGTGTTTGGCTTCTGCTTTCCATTGTCCTCTCCCGTTTCTCTGGGTCCCTTTCCGCTTGCTGTTGGTGGAGTGGGAGCCTCTTTGGGTTTCCTTTCGCTCGGTTGCTCTCCCTTGTTGGGTTCGAGCATGGGGCCAAGTTCTTCTGTATGGTACGTGCAGTTAGCATGAAGTGTTCATCCTCCCGATGACTGCAAGGCCAAGTTATGATGTCGGATGAGGGATGTGTTTGCTGTCCTTTCGTTGAGGCTGCTCTGAGTTGTTTCAGTCTACCTTATTGGCGTAAGAACTTCGTTTTTTATTTCTCGATCTCCTCGTTTTCTGTATTCGATGGCTAGCAAGTCTCTTCGACTGGTGTAAGTGGTGTCTCATTCTTGGCTGACCCTATAGTACCTCTGCCTACCGTGCCCTTTACGTGTGATGGATGAGAGTTCTTTTTCCATCGCTCATATCCGGACTTGGAGGCGTCTATCGATCGCTCCCAGTTGAACTGCTCATTTCCCTCCTGGTGTGCCTCGCCATCTTTGGCTGCTATAGGCGACAGCCCGCGGGTCCTGTCTTCACGGTAATTCTTCCACGCAGGTAAGCCCTATACTTATTTTTTTATTAGTTTGTTCCACACTGAATGATGCAATTGAATTCAACTCTAGCCTTAGAAGCACAATATTAAATAACAAACACAAAAATATAACTTTTATTTATTTATTTATATACAAGCAGGTACATTGATTAGATTTAGATTACATTAGATTTTTATTCAGGTAAAGGTACATACATTGAGTTACATATATAATGTTGGATTTAAAGATAGAGATAGTACATACAATACCTAAAGCCATTACTACGTATAGCGTTTCAGGCAAATTGGGATTGTGAGGATACATAACATGTGTTTACAGTCTTGTAAAGCCACTAGTACGCGCAGCGTTTCGGGCAGGTCCTTAATCTAACAGATAATTTTAAGTAGGTAAATTCTAGTAAAATTTATAAATTATTAAATGGTACATTGTAAGAAAAAAATGAGAGAGATTTGTAGGTATATTAAAGCACATCGGTAGCTCTGATTGATAGCATTGACAGCTTGTTTGATAATTTAACAAAGATTAATAGGCACCATACAGCAAATTGATAGCACATATAAGACGACAGCAATGATCACAATGGTAAAGTTGTTTGGATTAGGTACATCAATATTGGGGGATTGGGGTAGCACTAGATACAGTGTGAGTTTAATGCACAAGGTAGGAAAGCATAAAGATGAAATTAGGTACTTTTTGTTTTTGTTTTTGAATGAGGCAAAAGTTGGACAGCTTTTCAATTCATTAGGGAGTGAGTTCCATAGACCAGGTCCCTTTATTTGCATAGTGTGTTTACACAGATTAAGTTTGACTCTGGGGATATCAAAGAGATATTTATTTCTGGTGTGGTGATAATGAGTCCTATTACATCTGTCCAGGAAGAGTTTCAGAGCAGGATTTGCACTTAAGAACAAGGTTTTGTATTTGTTATTGACACAAGAGAATGTGTGGAGTGATTTTATGTTTAACATGTTAAAGTATTTAAACAGAGGGGCTGTGTGTTGTCTGAAAGCAGAGTTTGTTATTATTTTGATAGCAGATTTTTGCTGGGTGATGATGGGCTTGAGGTAGTGTGCAGAAAATAAGAAAATAAGAACTAATACTAAGAGCGTTCAATATTGACCTAGTGGGCCCGACGGCTCATTAGGCTCTACCTTCCTCTGCTGTTCACCACATTATGTCAATACAAAAGTTGTAACTAAATTATTCTAAGTTTTGCCCAAAACGCTTTGCGTGTTAGAGGCTTTATTTAATATACAACCCCTGTACCCTCACGTATACCTATGTGTTTGGTTCTTATGTATGCATATTTTATGAATATAGTATTATTATATATTATTATTATAGGTGGTTTGATAAGACCAGTTTGCCACCAGATGATGAGACGAGGGGTAAGATAGGGAGTAACTGCTTTGTTTGGCAGCTAATTACCAAACATTTGTTGGGGTACGTTTTCGATGTTCATGACTTTCATTGTTATGGTCATGCACCATGACCAGTGCATGAGTGATCTTTGATTGCCTGCATCTACTTTCTTATCACAATCAACTTGAGAATGGTCCAGGACGAACCGAAACGTCGTCGTCCCTTTACCGTCTAGTGTGTGGTCTGGTCAACATACTTTAGCTACGTTATTGTGACTCGTCGCCTGCATCTTTGATTCTCACTCGAGGAGGGGCAAGTCGGTGTAAAATGGCGCCTGTGAGTGTAGGTGTGGTAGTCCTGTGGTGGCAGGTCCTCACGCCAGGGCCCACCCCACAATGGGGCGCATCATTGCTCTCAACACTATGTTTACACCAGCTCCAGTGCTAAACAGATATATTCAAGTGCAGGCGATGAGTCACAATAACGTGGCTAAAGTATGTTGACCAGACCACACACTAGAAGGTGAAAGGACAACGACGTTTCGGTCCGTCTTTGACCATTCTCAAGTCGATTCTCCCACAATCGACTTGAGAATGGTCCAGGACGGACCGAAACGTCGTCGTCCCTTCACCTTCTAGTGTGTGGTGTGGTCAACAGATATATTCAAGCTGTCTCGTCTTAAATAAAGTGAAAGACGGGAGACAATTTTGCATTGTTAACCCCATTTAGAATCAGATAATGAATT